AAACATAGGTGATTTGCAGAGTTTCTTAATTTCAGATACATGACTGCTTATAGCGCTGTCAATACATGAGAAGGTCAAGTTAAGCTTGCTGTTAATCCAAACACATTCTGTAAAATTCAATGAAGTGCAACCGGTTCCAGACTTTTCGGACACCCGGTAGAAAGGTTCAGTTATATAAGACAAATATATACTATTTGGTACAAAGTGGATACCAGCTGTTTCTTTGTTGTTAAGCACAAAGATACTATCTGTGCTCTGTCCACCGCAGGTATCAAAGCCCGATTTTTAACGTTATAAGCCTTTATAGCGGACTTACCGCTGAGCTACAGGTGGTAATACCATTTGTAACCGAATTAAAAGAAAATTTATGTTTTAAATGTTATTATTTAAACTTAATAAATGAAATATTTTATTATTTTGATTATATAAACTCTTATTTTTCAAAATCATATTTGTAGAAAAGATATATAGGAGTAATTTATAGCTTAATATTACAAACTGTTCAAATTGTTTTTTGTAAGTACATTTGTGCTTAACTAAAGCACAAACACTTACAAGTATCTGCTTAATTTACTATTAATATTACGCTTATAGTAGCAATGCAATAACGTATAATAAATACAAATACTCGTAAATGAATTTCAAAACAAATTAATGCATACTATATAAACGATCTTTCAGAACAAACAGTTTGATAGCTCGAAGGCTGTTGGTGTAAATACACATGAATTTAAGACCTGTTTAAGACAAATATTTGAATAATTTCTTTTGGTATAAATTCACATAAACAAAGCGAATTTATAAACAAATACACATCGAGATCAGTTGTCTCGTGTTTATAGTTGAGAAACTGTTTTTCTGAAACAAGGCAGGTCAACACTTTTATGTACACCAATATTCGTTTAAGAACGAGTATCCGTTAGTATCAGAATGTAATCGAATTTGGTTCTCACCAAATATCTTGCAACACGTAATAATACAACAACCATCATTTGTGATAATCCATTGGTGAATAATTGTTTTTATAATAGTTTCGAAAATAAATAAAACATTACTTTTGTACTTAAAAAACAAAGGTTGATCTCGCAATAGCTGACGGGTTGGCATAAAGATTAATAGGTTAATTAAAGATACAGAGATAGATAAGAAGGTCGGCAGTTATGAAATTAAGAACCAGCTTTTTGACGGATACAAACAAACAGATAGATGATAATAATAGACATTATAGAAATACACAAAACATACCTGTCTGGTCTATGGGACACTCGGTAAAACTGACTTGATCCTTTTGTAAGACCTTACAACCAAATTCCAGAGAACAAGGAAGTCGTTCACAACCGAGGTGATTTAATGAGAGTGGTTTCTTATCGCATCCGAAAGTACATTGTTTGCAAAATTCATCATCTGTGTTAAAAGGACAATTATATGTTCCTGAAAAAAGCATATCTATCTATATAGATGTGTTATATAGAAAGCTGCTAATGAAACAAAAGAAAAAAGAATCCGCCGTTTCAAAATAGAAAAAAAAATGTAGATACGCCTCTCAGTACAAACTGTTTTAAGTTTTTTTCTGAGATACTGAGGGTTTGTTTGAAATTAAGTACAAAGCCACACAATGGGCTATCTGTACTCTGCTCACCACGGGTATCGAAACCCGAATTCTGGCGTTGTAAGTCCGCAGACATACCGCTGTGCCACTGGGGGGGGGGCAACTGCTTTAAGAGAAACAAAATAGAATATATACACCCCTCACGGAAATAACAGTCCGTAAAAAGTTCGTACTTAAAACTACTCTACGTCATGTAATATGTGTGTTATTCTAACGACTTTCCTGTTAAGCTTCGTCTGTTACAAAATAAAAAATATTAACAAACTTTTGAAAATGAACCAATTTTTGAGCTTCAAACCGTGGTAAACAATATAAGTAAAAAATATTTTAGCTCTGTACCATTCTATTTTAATTTGACCTTATGAAAATGTCTGTTAGGGGAAAAATAACAATAACACTTTATCTTAGTTTTATTTGTCAAATTTATTGCTGATGAAATATGTCAGTTAATAATAAACTTTAAGGCTTATTATTTAATTTCTGTAATGCATATTGGTGTATTGAAGACATTTTAATGCTAGAAATAAACGACCTTATAACACCAAATTTTATTTAATTAGACACTCGACGTTTTGCTTTACAGCGTTTCAGGAGCGTTCCACTAAAACGTAAACCGAAACCGACAATAAAAAGCTTCAAATGGTTTAAATAAACAAAAATTTAATATATACGTCCCTCACAGAAATAACAGTCAGTATAAAAGCCGTACTTCTAACTACTCTAAGTCATGTAATGTGTGTGTTATTCTAAATAATCCATTTGAAGCTTTGTAATATCAGTTTTGGTTTGTGTTTTAGTGAAATGTTCCTGAAGAAGCTGTAAAGCGAAATGTCGAGTGTTTAATTAAATAAAAACAACAGTTTGGTGTTATAAGGTCGTTTATTTCTAGTATTAAAATTTTAAAGCTTGTTAGATCAGAACAGTTATAGTTCAACCATCTTTAAACTTTTTTTCTACTGAATATAGTAAATTATTAAAAGTTTGAAAATTATAGCTCGTTAAATTTTTTTTCAGGTTAAACGACGATAATCTTTTACCAGCCTTGATAACAATTGGACAACAAAAAATTTGCTACTGGAGAAAACTCAAGTCATTCTGGGTAATTTGATGGTACTTATTTAAAAAAAAATTAGTAAAAATTTCTCTATCACCTCTACATTTTGAGTTATTGAAATATATCAATATTTTATCTATACTAAGTGAAATATCATGCAATCAACTCAGGACAATAGACATGCTGTGAAATTAAGTTTAATTGGTAAAAGACGTACATTTTGGTAACATTTACTGTTTTGTATTGGTGCAAAATTCCAAACATATTGTTCATATATGCTATTTGTTGTCGGTATAATTGTAGAAATTGCACAATTTTTGCTTCGTTCCCACGCTCACGTGCCCAGTTTACTAGAACATTCGAGAAGTCTCTCGACTGAACATAAAAGTTCACTGAGTCGCTCTCACTCACTCAGTTTGTCACTTCGCCTCGCTTCGGGCATAATCAAAACAAAGTCCAATCTTCTTCCTCGCATCATACCTGCTATATAATCAAATTTTGCAAATGTTAGTTGTTTTTTTTTATTTTTTAAACTCTCTTTTATATTTTTTAGGAAATCATTTGAAATACTGACTGCTTCCAGTTCAAGTAGAGTCCGAAAGTGCAAAAATCACCCAAACAGTTTCTGCTACATTTGTGGAAAATATATTACAGTTTCACAAAGGAGAAACATCACACAAAAGGTAAAGGTAGCTTACTTTGGGTATAAAATTGGTGACCAAGAAAAACATGGGGCTCCACATGTGTTGTAGAGTTTACACATCTTGCTTGACACAGTGGCTTAATAAAAAGAGAGCAAGTATGCCATTTGCAGTTCCCATGATATGGTGCGAGCCCAAAGATCATCTAAGTGACTGTTATTTTTGCATGAATTTATTATTCTGGGTATTCAGGCAAAACTAAACAATAGTAGCTGAGAAATTTTTGTTGTTGTTGAACTGTATAATAAAGTTAGAAAAAAACGACTTTTACACACCAGATAATTACAAGATAACTTTTATTTTCATCAATGTTTCGCCTTTGCAGCTTCTTCGGGGCTAGTACATAAAACTATTTGATATTAGAGACTAGAGTATAAGGGAAGCAACTTTTCATGTCCTAAGATAACCTGCCATTAATCATGAATTTACATAACTTCCGTCCAGGGGACGGGTACCCCAGCTAGTAAGTAATATATAACGTATATTAGTATAGCTTAGAGGAATAGTGAAACAATAATAATATTCTATACATTGCTAGAGGTACCTTACGGCAGACTCGAGAAATATAACATCACACGCAGTTTTATAATTTAACTAATATTCTAATATCAAACAGTTTTGTGTAATGTTCCCGAAGAAGGTGAAGGGCGAAACGTTGGTTAAAATTAAACAATCTTTTATAATTATCAGGAGTATAAATGAGGTTTTTTTCTAACCTTTTTATTAAAATGTGCAAATCACTCCAGTAACCCCCCCCCCCCCAGTGGCACAGCGGAATGTCTGCGGACTTACAATGCTATAATCCGGGTTTCGATACCCGTGATGGGCAGAGCACAGATAGCCCACTGTGTAGCTTTGTGCTTAATTACAAATAAACAAACCTTCCAGCAAGCACTAGAAATTTTGAAAGACAACAAAAACATCCGCCAACTTTGGTTGAGCACATTTTTTGATGAAACAGTATTGAAATCCTTTGTATTTGATGTCACCTATACTCACTTTTGTTTCAAATGATAGAATAAATTGTATTTGTAAGAGCCAGTTTACTCAGTTATCACTGTATGTAAATCTGAAATCTTGTGATCAGATTTCCATTACGTGTCTAAAGGAAATATGGAAAGTGGCACATATAATAATGAAACACACCTGTTTCACGGTGACAGTCATAAGAAGCACAATAATGAAACACACCTGTTTCACGGTGACAATGATAAGAAACAAAATAATGAAACACACACCTGTTTCACGGTGACAATCATAAGAAACACAATAATGAAACACACCTGCTTCACGGTGACAATCATAAGAAACACGCCTACAGTTACAAGGAATACATTTAGCAAATCTGCTACCGCCAGGAATATTTCTGGTGTACCCTTGGTCACAAGATTCACAGAACTGACCAACGTAACCACGAGGACATGTACAGTTTTCCACCCAATTAGCGGTCCCTCCGTTCGTTGAAGGTCGGGCAGACTGCAGTCTTACGTCGTATAAAAAGGTTTCTCCTACAGAAAATAAGGAAAAACTAATCATTGTTTACTATCGGCATAACTGTTGACATGAATAAAAATAGCAATAAAAATACAAGGAGTAATTATACGTGTATATTTAGAATCACGCAAGTATTCACTTGAGTGAAACTTCATGCAGCCTAATCCATATTGTATTAAACTACCCCCTCCTCAACATCAGGTC